AAAATTTTAAAATGTTGACAAGCTTGTGGAGCTGTTGTCGAGCAAGTATTTATTTCATGCAAGTTGATGGATGTGATGCAGTGATGAAATCCTATCGATATCCTAACAGATAATGCTATGTTAAAAAATTTCAAATGAGAATTTTAACAATGTGATAGTGTCTTTATTACGTGGACTAAACCATGTGTTGTCTAGTGTGGCATTGTTTATATTGTAAGTTATAGGTATCGTATTGAACAGTGTATTAACTAGACACTAAAAACAATTGTTCATTTACTTCAAAGCTTTCCAGATGAGAAGAGATTCCCTGAATTGCACAGCATATGGGTGAAGAATATCAGCAAACTTATGCCAGTGAAGTTTGTTCCTATGAAAAATAGTCGTTTGTGTTCAAAGCATTTTAGTGCTGATATCTTTGAGGAGGATTACAGCCAGAGACCAGTGTTAAAGCCATATGCTGTACCAACAATCTTTAATGATTGCTTTGGTCAGCTTGGTTGTGATCTTTACAGTTTATTATCAGTACAATTAATAGTCATACTGTACATGATGGGTAATTAACCCATTAAGCGCCAGTGCTCTCCCCTTGACGAGTAAAATTGTCTGGCGTTAGACAGAGTAAAATACTAAAATAGGGTGCTTCGCCACTCAATGGGTTAAATTTATTCCTTAATTTTTCTGCTAACAACTTTAAGTTATTTGTACACATTTTGGTCTGTTTAGCTAAGCCAAAATTGCTACATTTACATTTATTTTGACCATTTGTGTTAGTGTACAAATTAGGCTAGCATAATTACTGTATAGGTACTGACCATCAAGTAGGGATTGACATGCATAGAATTGGTTGAGCAGTTTATTTAATTAAATTGGTGTTGTATGTGTTTAAAAATAAAGAATAAATTTTGTTGTGATTTGAAATTGAATATATTATTTATTCTTATTACTAAATGTAATTATATAATTATCTTGGAAAATCTTTTTTTGAATAAAATATTTTCTTAATAATTCTTCACTGTCGTTCCAATTGAAGTGTTCCTCAAATATTGATTCAATACATTACCTCGGGCTAACCAATTCATTTGATTAAGTTCCTCAAGATATTCATACACTTCCTAGTATAATTGTAAACTTCCTGTTAAATGATTTGAATGCACCAATCACCTTTGTTGTTTGTGCAACTAACCAATCATAAATAGAAAGGAAGTGACCAGAAATGATTAAATACTTGGAATTGGCTCTTTCACAGGAAGTGTATGAATATCTGGAGGAACTTGATGAAATGAGATGCTTGTGTGATGTTACTCTGAGTGTATATCCATACCGGGCAGGCTTGAAAAATATGCCTGGCCACAGTGGGATTTGAACCTACGACCTTTGGAATACTAGCCCAAATGCAAATGCTCTGTCAACTGAGCTACGCGGTCAGGTCGGTTTGAATCCCAATGTGGCTTGGCATATTTTCCAAGCTTACCCGGTGTGGATATGCACTCAGAGTAACATCACACAAGCATCATATTCACAAATATCATGGTTATTAGATTACACTGATATCGAAGGAACTAGACTCAGTTCCGAAATATCGCATACTCGAACTGCCCCGACTGTATACCTGTAGCTCAGTTGGCAGAGCATTGGGCCAGTATTCCAAAGGTTGTAGGTTCAAATCCCACTGTGGCCAGGCATATTTTTCAAGCCAGCCCAGTGTGGATATCCACTCAGAGTACGGAACATCACACAAGCATCTTATTCACCTGAGTACATGTATTACACCAACACGGCAAATATCTTAGTTGATGGAATGAATTGATCAGCCCGAGGTAATGTCAGTATTGAATCAATATTTGAGGAACACTTAAAAATAAGGTATGAATCGCATAAAATGCAGATATCAAAATCAAACACTGTAACTCGAGCACAAAAATGTGCATATTTGTTTTAAAAGGCGATTGTTCCTTGAATGTTCAATGAAATAGTGCCATTGCCTTTTACAAGAAAGACCATTATAAAGAAATACACTTGACTTTCTTCATTGCCATCTGGTACTTAGTACAGATATCCCATATTTTCTTGATAAATTCATACCTGAAAGCGGAATACATACAGGTGTAAAAAACTTTAATGGTCATATAAGTGCTTTATATTCCAAAGAGTTGCTTTTCCCCACAATTTACTAATAGAATAAACTGGTATTAAAATCTCTAAAAAAACCTTTGTCACTCAGGGAAATTTATAGCAGTACGGTTTTCAACAAGCTATATTTGCTTAATTTTACTTGCTGGGGATTGTTATAATACTCGTGTTTTAAAGAATAATCTTGATAGTCAGTTCAGTTGCAACCAATACAGTATGTGGCCCAGTTTCGGGTCATTTCAGGTTTGAACTGCTATATCTTCCTTTTCAGGAAAGGTACAATTTTTAAATGCTCACTTGAGAATAGGAAAGGTGTTTCTTAACAATATTTCAAAAGATTGACTTTTCTTACCTTTCACTTTTAGAATTATTTATATTTTTAAGAATCATTTTAGGTGCCCAGTATCGGGTCAACTGCACCAGTATCGGGTCACTTCAAGTTTCTTTGTTTATGGTATAAAAGCGTTTGTTTTACGGCAATTTTCGATCATTTTGTATAGTTTCAACATGTCTTAAGTTATTACCAATTTTTTGTGAGGTTTTGACAAGGTTTAGACATGATATTTCCAGCTTGAAACTACCTCTTCTACACAGTTTTTGCGGAGTGCGTTCTAAGCAGTGCTTCCACTTTCAAAGGTTGAAACATAGCTGACCCGAAACTGGGCCACAAAGCCAAACTGAAACGTAATTTGTGGGACCAGAATATATCTCTGAAATTCTGAATAATTGAATTGCCATTTCATATTTATATATTCTCGGCAATAATCTATCGTTAGGACAAAATTGGGCAGTTACATGGAGAATTACATATCAATAATACGATTTATTGTTATTAGTTAGTTTTACTGCGCAGTGAAATGAACAAATTTTAGTAAAAGAATATAAACATACCCGGACAAAAGGGATTCTTCTTTGAATACAGTTCAACTAAAAAGCCTGCGAAAGCTATCATCCAAAAAAGGAAAGGTTCACCATTATATCTGTATATTTCATTTCGCGTCGCTTTTTATCTCGGCGGAAAAAAATGAAATCAAATTTCTATTGACCCGCTACTGGTACTGTCCCGAAACTGGGCCACATACTGTATGGTTGCAACTCAAATTCACAATACAACAAGAATTGATAAATCATTTCAATGACTTACATGCTTTGTTCTTGTGGCCGTCAAGCTCCATTCATGTCTTTTTTTATTAATGGCTTTCGGTCTTTATTGATTTATACGCGCAGTTAGAATAATACTGTATTTTCAAAAGGACGAAAATCAAAAACATACTCTCTGTCGATCAACTAAAAATATAAACATACAAAATCACTGTAAAATCCAGGGGGGGGTTGAACTTTGTCGCCCACGAACATTCGAGCCACGGGTCAGTGGAAACTGCCATGAAAATAGGTCGATTGTGACGTCAAATCCGCCATGTTTTTGGCCACACACTTTCGTCGAGAGCACGATCTCCAGATATATTAATATAGCTCAGTGGTGTGAGTACTTCACTGCTTGTTTTTACACGATAACAATAGGATTTTCATATAATTTTCTCAAATAACATAAGGCCATGGGAATGAAAGTCATAGATTTGCGTCCGGATAATTTTGAAAAAACATGCGGGTTTTTTTCATTATTCATTATTCATTATTTTTTTACCATCCTTTTGGGTGGTAAATACAGAGATCAAAACACGAATTACCGTTTACGCCACGGAATTACATATATCTCGAGCTTACGCAGTTGCAGTACTGAAGATCTGTATGCCAATTTCGCCATTTCGGTGAATATAATTTGGAATTTCATAGAATGTGGATACTGAGGACAAACACACTGCAATATGTTCATTTTATTGTAATCAATACACAATTTTATTGCTAATTTTATTGAGTTTTGCTTTATTTGTGAAAATAATGAATTTTTTTGTAAATAATGAAAATTTTAGGCGGTAGCTTTTGAGGCATGCGGGCGGTGGACGCAAATCTATGACTTTCATTCCCATGGCCTAAGTATACTATGGAAGCGATGTGCAAAATTCATAAACAAGATGAATTCAACGGGAATCAAAGAATTACAAGCGATGCAATGTTACACAAGGGTTTGGAAGGATTTGACTATCACAGAAGCATGGTAGGTATGAGTTTATTTTTCCTGATTTTTTCATATTTTACTGCCTCCGATCACAATAAATTATGCCATACAACATTCCTTTGGTATTCTAGTTTTAAAAAACTGCATCTTGATGAGAATTAGCGTCGTTAGTCCGAAGTAAATACTGCTTAATTTTACAAGCGAGTCGAAATTTGAATTTCCACCAAATGGAGTCATTACAATCCGTATTTTGGTCATATCTTTGAAATTAAGTGTTCGTATTGGACTCAGAGGAGGTTCGACAAGCAGGCCGCAAAGCATCATGGGTTTGAGTGCCTAATTCCAGGCGTGGCTTCAATGACTCTTTGACTGTCGTGGAGTGAACATCTCTCTGAGTAAACAAATATGGAAGCATTCGAAATACAAGATTGTCAGGCTGCAAAACTTCGTGAAAATAGCATGTTATTGCTGTATTGTTGCGATCCTCATTATGACTTGCGTTTTACTATAACAAGGTTACCTTATATTAAATTGCATGGGACGTGCTGTCATTTTAGCTTTATAAATAATCCGTCTGTCAAAGCGAAGGAATTGTGTTTATATTCCCAATAGCGAGGCCCTTCTTTCTAAGTTGGATGGCGTTAAATATCTGTGTATCATCAACGTGAAAACAAGCGCAGTATTTAAGGTTAGTATATTACAATGCATTTAATACAGTTGACTTGTTATTTGGTCAAATTTCCGCTTTGCTGCTTTCCAATATTGTACTGTAATTTTATAAATACACTGTACACATTATGGCGTAATATTTCTAATAATTTAACCCTTTAGTTTGACCCTACTGCTGATGAGTTTGCTAACGAAAACACCCAGCATATGCTTTTGATTTTGGATTTCGATGTGGATCATATATTGACAGCGAATAGAATTGATGATGAACATTCAGATGATGAACATTGGTTCTCAGATGAGTCTGAAGGTATATTGTTATTCAGTTATTTGTATGGTTTTATAAATTTTTGCTGAGTGTAATGCCTGTTTGTATCTAGTTGTGGGTGGTCGTTTAAATGTGCAAACTGTAATTTAATATTTTTTTTAATTTTCATGTAAA